CTCCTCTTCCTCCCTCTTCTCCTTCTTCCTCTTTCCTCCTCCTCTTCCTCCTTCTCCTGCTCTTTCTTTTTCTTCTTCTTCTTCTTCTTCTCCTCTCCTCCTCCTCCTTCTTCTTCCTCCTCCTCCTCCTCCTCCCTTCTGCTCCCTCCTCCCTTTTGCTCTCTCCCCCCATTTCCCACCTCCCTCCTCCCTCCTGTCCTGTTGGGTCTCCAGAGGCTTCCGAAGGCTTCCCGGGGCTTCGGGGATCTGTGGAGATCTTCAATGTTTGGATACCAGGGTTCCCGTCGACGTGGGTGTTGTCGACGGCACCGTCAAGTAAACTAGCTGGGATGGGCCGCTGGGTCTGGGGACGAATTTTGAGCAGATATCTATGACGCCCCGTCGCCATGGCTGGACCTTCCTCAAAGCCTTGGTCAGAGCGCGCTCTGGCTTATGAGGAGGGGACTTCGGACGTGTGTGCGTAGTGCAGCATCGTTGATGCATCTTCGGTTTCCTCTGGTCCCTCCCTCGTTTCTCCTTTTCCTTCTTCTTTTCTACTCCTGCTCTTCGGAGGAGGAAGAAGGACATATGGAGGAGCGAGATTGGAGCGGGGATGAGGGGAGGAATGGAGGAGGAAGAGGGGAAGGGAGGAAGTAAGGAAGGAAGGAAGTAGGAGGAGGAGGCGGAGGAGGAGGAGAAATAGGAGGAGGGGGGAGGAGGAGGAGGGACGGGAGGAGAAGGAGGAGGAGGAGGGGGAGGAGGATGAGGAGGAGGATGCGGAGGAGGAGGAGGAGGCGGATGAGGAGGAGGAGGAGGAGGAGGAGGAGGAGGAGGAGGAGGAGGAGGAGGAGGAGGAGGAGGACGAGGAGGTTCGGAATCGGCGGCGGCAGCGGCAGTTGCACAGAGGAGGTAGAAGGAGGAGGAGGATGAGGAGGAGGAAGGCCAGTGTAAACCCAAGACGCGTTAACGATGTTTCAGTGCACTCTCCGTCCGAGTTCCCTCTTTTCACAGGTCCCCGCAAGAATCTACTGCCATTGCGGGACGTGTCCCAGTGGAAGACAGCCGTTTGAAGATCCCGAAACGTGCCCAAACGAACTTCTGGGGCTGCAACGCTGCGAGTGAACGTCGCTATTGCGTCCTGGCGATCCTGAGTGATGCCAGAAAGCCGTTCGAGGGACTTCAACACCAAGAACCAACGGTATTGTGCGTCCTGACAATCCTGAGCCGTGCCAGGGCACGGCTCCTGGGACTTCAGCCACGCGAACTCTTGAGCCCGTTACAAATGTTCAAAGTGAGCGAATGAGCGCGGCGCAAAGGCGAGAGCCACATCTCAAAATGTAACCGCCCTCCATTCTCGAAACTACTGCACATGGTCAAACCGAATGTGCCTGGCGCTGAGGCGACAGCCGCATTTTGAAAGCCACCCGTCCTCCATCCTTAACAAGTTCCAAAGTTTATCTGTGCGCGTGCGCTACAGCGAGAGCCACATGTTGAACACCACCTGCCCTCTATCCTTGACGCTGCTGCAAATTTCAATCTTCGGGATCATACGTGGTGAGGAAGTATCAGGCATTACGCCCGGCCCGCCCTACCGACACGTCTAGGGGTGCGGCAGGGAGGAGCTGTTTATCATGAGCAGAGACGGTGGAGGAGGAGGAGGAGGAGGAGGAGGAGGAGGAGGAGGAGGAGGAGGAGACAGGGAGTGAGAGGAGAGGAGCCAGAGGAGAGGAGAGCAGGAGGAGGAGGACGGCGGAGGAGGGGAGGAGGCGGAGGAGGAGGGTGGAGGAGGAGGAGGAGGAGGAGGAGGAGGAGGAGGAGGGAGGAGGAGGAGGAGGAGGAGGAGGAGGAGGAGGAGGAGGAAGAGGAGGAGCGGCGGCGGCGGCGGGAGGATTGCGCCCGCTCCTCGAGGACTTTCGCATGGGCTGGGTCCGTGTACCTCCTGGTGGCCACGGGCCCCGCCGGAGCGGCCGGAGGCCACATCGGCTGGCTGGATGCCGCTGCGCTGCTCGACGGGCACTGCGGCCCTCACGTGGTGCACCCTCTGGCGAGCCGGAAGCGGCTGTGCCTGGAGCCGAGAGGCGGCGCCGAGTTCGAGGCGGGGTCGTCGCCCGAGGTCTATTTCGTGTCGGAGTCGTCGGTGAAGTGGTACCGCACGGCGAGCGGGAAGGCGGGCACCGTGCAGATCGATGCGCCGCAGGCGGTGGTTGGCGCAGGAGACAGCTTTTTTGGCCCCTGGCGATCCCGGGCGTGACCGAGGGGGAGGAGGGGTGGAAGGGGCTGGTCGCGTCAGGACTCGCACCAGCGCCGTCTGGGACTTCCGAGGAACGGCTAGCTCTCAGTCGGTGACAGCGCGGATAGTGACGTGGCCGGGGGGGGGGCGAGGGGGGAGTGGGGCCGGTCGTGCGCGTTTGCAGCGAGTGTGGTCAGGAATTTTGGCTCAGCGTGTCGCTCCGCTGGTTCTGGCCCATCACGCTTCGGAGCGTCACGCCATCCACGTCCCGGCCCCCGAGCGTCAACGTCCCGAGCCTCTCCCAGCCTCCCGCCCCGCGGATCGGCGCGACACGCTGCCCGCTCGCAGGGCACAGCGTGCCGCCGGGGGCCGCCGCCGCGGCACGCCAAGCAACGGCTCCCTGCCGTGGTGAGCCGATGGGCTCCAGGCTGGTCCGCCGTGGCGCTGCTGGACAGCCTCGCGTCCAGCGACGGCGGCGCCTCGCACCTGCTGCTCCTGGCCCTGGAGCTCACGGTCGGCGGCCGCGAGCCGAGGACGACGAGCGCCGTCTGGCTCGTCGGCGTCGACGGCGAGCTGGTCGGCCGCGTGCCAGGGGCCTTCGACGCCGCGTTCCTGCCCGGGCGCGCGCGCGCGGACGCGCAGGTCCTCTGGCTCGCCGGGTCGGGCCCGAGCGTGGCCGTGCACGTGGCGCCCGCCTTCGGCGCGGGCGGCGGCGGCGCAGCCGCGCTGACGGCCGTCGGTTCCTCGCCCGCGGCCTTCGGGGGCAACGGGCGGGGGAGCTGGGCTCAGAGGGGGAGACCTCGAGCAGGAATTGGCGATGC